GCAGGCTGCAGTTACAACCAATCCAAATTCTTTTTCAAATAGCATCATACCATTTCACAGGTAGTGTGAATGCCTTATAATAAGAAACTATTCATGATTTCTTCCTCCTATCCCTGTGTTACTGCTATCTTTCATTTTGTTTATATCTGATCACATATAAGCATATATGCACATTAGCAGACATAATCAAATATATTCTTGCTATTATTATTTTGAACAAAGTAGTATCTGTTAGCTATATTAAGAACATGAAAGATAGAAGTTTTGTAACTTCCCTGGCAGTCCCGTAGTTAAGACCCCATTCTTCCAATGCAGTGGTGAGAGTTCAATTCCTGGTTAGGGAACTAAGATCCCACATGCCTTGAGGCCCAGCAAAGTTAAAAAAAATAGAAAGTATTTATTTTCACTATTTCTACATCAATTCTCTTCCTTACTTTATGTGGACTACTTTATTTTCCTTCTTTTCAAATAACTTTTAATATTTCTTGCAAGACAGGTCTACTGGCAACAGTTCCTTACTTTTTTTGTTTGCTTGTTTCTCTGAGAAAATCTTTTATTTCTCCTTAATTTTTTAAGGATAACTTCCCAGAATAAACAATTGTAGGTTAGTGGGGTTTTCTCTTAACACTTCAAATAATTCATTTCACTCTCTTCTTGCTTGCATGAGGAGAAGTGAAGTATAATTCTTACCTTTTTCTCCCTCTTTAGTTAAGATGGGCTTCCCCCAACCCCCTACCCACCTCTGGCTTTTTCAGGATTTTCTATTCATCTTTTATTTTCTGTAGTTTGAAAATGATCTATCTTGGTGTAGGGGTTATCCGGGGATGGGGTGGGGAGGGGGGTTGGCATTTATCCTAATTGGTGTTCTAAGCTTCCTGGATGGGTGGCCTGCTGACATTAATTTGGGGAAATTCTTGAAAGTATCATTTCAAATATCTCTCTACTCTTTTTTTTTTTCTTCTCCTGGTATTCCATGCATGTTACACAACTACAGTCTTTGTCCTCTTTGCTTTTCAGATTTTCAGGATTCTATCTGTAAAAGAATCCACCAGCCAATGCAGGAGATACAGGTTTGATCCTTGAGTTGGGAAGATCCTCTGGAGAAGGAAAGGGAAACCCACTCCAGTATTCTCACCTGGAAAAAATCCCATGGACAGAGGAGACTCATGGGCTACAGTCCAGGGGGTGGCAAAGAGTTGGACGTAGCTTAGCTACTTAATACAATAAATTGGTACATCATACAGCTCAGAGACTCTTCCTGGAATCATGTTGTCTTCCAGTGAGCCCACCATCAAAGGTATTCTTCATTTCTGTTACAGTTTTTTTTTTTAACTCTAGCATTTTTTTTCTTAAGATTTGCATCTCTCTGCTGACATTGTCCATCTGTTCTTCCCTACTGTCTACTTTATCCATTAGAACTCTTACTATATTAACTGTTCTACATTCCTGGTCTGATAATTCCAACACCCCTGCCATGTTTAGTTCTGATGCTTGCTCCATCTCTTCAGATTGTGATTTTTGCCATTTGGTATGCCTTCTTAATTTTCTTCTCTGCAGGTGTTTCTTTTCTTGATAGGCAGATATGATGTACTAGGTAAAAAAGAAATGCTATAAATAGCCCTTGTAAATAGTAACATGGTGGTGAGGAGTAGGGGAGGGGAAGAGTCCTATAGCCTGTGATTAAGTCTTTCGTGAGCTTGTGTCTCTGGACCGTGAAGTTCACCGTGTTTCTCCATTTGTCTTCTCCACACTTGAGCTCAGTTCAGTCACTCCATCCATGGGGTCACTCTTTGCAACCCCATGGACTGCCAGATGTCCATCACCAACTCCCGGAGCTTGCTCAAACTCAAGTCCATTGAGTCAGTGATGCCATCCAACCATCTCATCCTCTGTCATCCCCTTCTCCTGCCTTCAGTCTTTCCCAACGTCAAGGTCTTCTGAAATGAGTCAGTTCTTCGAATCAGGTAGCCAAAGTATTGGAGTTTCAGCTTCAACATCATTCCTTCCAATGAATACTCAGGACTGATTTCGTTTAAGATGGACTGGTTTGATCTCCTTACACTTAGGCCAAACCAAATGACTCCAATGGACTACAGTTGGGTGTTTCCCTTCCCCAGGTGCTGGTTACTTGCTTCCCCTGAGGGGCAGGCCTTGTTAAAAAGAACAGATTGTTCTGAGTATTTAAAATGGTTCCTTTCCCCATCTCCATGCTGGTAGCCCGAGGGGATTCTTATCCGTTACTTGTTAATACTAGGGGAACGTCACAGAGCTACTGCTGGTAAATCTCATGATATTTGGGGGACCCCTACCACTGCTGAGCTCCTGCTGGTGAATCTCATAATATTTGAGGGTCCCTCTACCCCTGTGGTCTTAGGTTTTTAAGCTCAGAGTTATCCACACCCAGCCTCCAGCAGTCTTTCAATTACAGTTCACCTTTTCCTGCCTGACGTTGGTCCCCAGGGTCTTGACCTGTGAGTCTCACTCTGATAAGTAGTGATTCCTGCATTTGCTTCTTGGTCTCTCCAGTCTCAAGGCAGCAGTCTGTTCTGTGTCCTCTTCCATCTTAGAGATCCAAGAAGAATCTTGGATTTTTTTGGTTTTTGTTTTTAATAATCTGCCCAGCTTTTTACTTGTTAGGATGGTGTGACTGTTTCTAAGTTCCTTACACAAGGACTAAGAAACCAGAAGTGGTCCACATTTTCTTTTTTCACAGTACTCTTTTTCTTTTTGGGGGGGAAAGTGGGGCACTGTGCATCTTGTGAGTAGGAAATGGCAACCCACTCCAGTATTCTTGCCTGGGAAATCTCATGGACAGAGGAGCCTGGTGGAGTATAGTCCATCTGGTTTCAAAGAGTTGAATACCACTGAAGTGACTGACCATGGGCCTCTTATGGGATCTCTGTTCCCCAAGCTGGGTTAGATCCCAGGCCCGTGGCAGTGAAAGCCCTGAGTCTTAACTGCTGGACACCCAGGCACAAAGTTCTTTTCCACATACATTTGTGGAAGTGGGAATGCTGAGTCAGAATGCCTCAGTTGCCCCAACCCACCATGATTTCTGTCCTTCTCCAGCCTAATTGTCATGCTCCATCATGTACAATCATTCTTTTGCTAAAGCCTTGATTCCACTGCCCTGTTATCTTATCACATGTGCTTTTAGAAACCCAGCCCTGGGTGACTCTACCATGCCCGCACCTGGGTAGATAATTCCTATACAGAAAAAAAGCACGTACCAGGGTCACCTGATTTCCTAGAGATTCCTCATCACCAGCATCAAGTGAGCCACCTGTCCTCACCTGTCCTGCAGGTGAGGACCTGCACCTGTCCTCAACATGTTCTCCCCTTTTTTGCAGAGATGTTTCCAACTTTCTTTTTTCTCCCCAAACCTCTGACTTCACCCTCCCCACTCACATCCTCACAGAGAATAGAGCGGCTATCCCACAAGCACCCCATCGCATTCTCCACATTACAGCTTATATAAGTGTGTATAAGTGTATATAAGCTTATATGTGTGTATAAGTGTGTATACACACATTATAGCCTTGTGAACACCTGGTCCTCTCCTCCAGCATGCCCTTCCTACACGTGATAACAAGGAAGGGGTCCCTCCTCACAGGTGGGCCAGCCCTCCACCTGTGTTTAGAACCGCCTCCACTCTATTGCATCAGGAACCTTACCTTATGGATGCAGCCTCTTTCATCTGAATTTTCAAGTCTCCTTTTTTAAAAAAATGTATTTTATTTATGTGTCTGTGATGGGTCTCCATTACAGCATATGAGATCTTTATTTATTTTTTTAAACTTTTTTCCCCAATTATTTTTATTAGTTGGAGGCTAATTATTTTACAATATTGTAGTGGCTTTTGCCATACATTGACATGAATCAGCCATGGATTTACATGTGTTCCCCATCCTGAAGCCCCCTCCCACCTCCCTCCCCATCCCATCCCTCTGGGTCATCCTGGTGCACCAGCCTCGAGCACTTGTCTCATGCATCCAACCTGGACTGGCAATCTGTTTCACACTTGATAATATACATGTTTCGATGCTATTCTCTCAGATCATCCCACCCTCGCCTTCTCCCATAGAGTCCAAAAGTCTGTTCTATACATCTGTGTCTCTTTTTCTGTCTTGCATATAGGGTTATCGTTACCATCTTTCTAAATTCCATATATATGCGTTAGTATGCTGTATTGGTGTTTTTCTTTCTGGCTTACTTCACTCTGTATAATAGCTCCAGTTTCATCCACCTCATTAGAACTGATTCAAATGAATTCTTTTTAATTGCTGAGTAATATTCCATTGTGTATATGTACCACAGCTTTCTTATCCATTCGTCTGATGATGGGCATCTAGGTTGCCATATGAGATCTTTAGCTGTGACATGCGGGATCTAGTTCCCTGACAGGGATCAAACCCAATCCACTGAAAAACTTACACACGGACTCGTCCTATTTCATTTGAATATTCAAGTCTCCTTTTTAAAAAATATTTGTTTGGCTGTGCTGGGTCTTAGTAACAGCATGTAGGATCTTCAATCTTCATTGAGGCCTGTGGGATCTAGTTCCCTCACCAGGAATCGAACCTGGGCCCCCCTGCATTCAGAGTATGAAGTCTTAAGTCACTGACCACCAGGGAAGTCACTCAAGTCTCCTCACATGGGTATTTCTTTCCCCTCAGTTGTAAAATGTACTCAGATTGCTTCCATCTTAAAGAAATAAAACACAGACCAGCTGTCCTTGACTTCCCTCCCTTGGGTCACCCCCTTCCCCCAGTTTCCTTCTCTCCTTCACAGAGAAACTCCTTGTAAGAGTTACCTACTGTCTTAGTTACTGTGGCTACATAACAAATGGCCCCCAAACTTAGTGACATGGATTATTCTCATGGTTTCTTTGAGTCAGGAATTCAGACTGAGCGCAGTGGGGGGCTAGCTTGTTTCTGCTCCGGTGTCTGAGCTTTGGCCGGTGGTCTGGAACAGGGGCTGGCATCAGCTTATTTACTCACGTGAGGAGGGGCGTGATTGCTGTCAGCTGGGATCCAAGTGGTCTCTTCATGAACTCCTTCAGGCTTCCTCCCAGCAGGGCGGCTGGGTCCTGAGGATGAGTGTCCTAAAGAGAACCAGAGGTTGTTAAAGGCATAGGGACAGAAAATCAAATGGTGGTTGCCAGGAGCTAGGGGGCCAAGAGAGTGGAGGGTTAGTGTTTAATGGGAACCGAGTGTTAGTTTTGCAAGTTGAAAACAGCTCTGGAGATGGGTGCACCATAATGTGAAAGGAGAGACACGCAAAAGGACCCCGGGACCCCTCATGCAGCAAGGCCGTAACACCTTTTCCAGCTTCTCCACGTCACAGAAGGGACCTTCGATTGTGCCATGTCCCTGCCACTTCTGTTCTTCAGAAGAAGCCAAACTTACACCCTAACAATCAATTTAATAAATTCTCAGATGCATTTTTTTTTGTTTTTTACATTTTATCTGAAATCAGAACTATTCACTCTGGGGCATAGTATAGCTGAATATCAGTGCTTTTTCTTCTTTCTAAGTGGTATCTGAAATAATGGTAAAGCTTCCAGTAGGTGGCACCTTAGATGATGTAAAATCTAGTCTTGACGCCACGTGTCTCCTCAACCCAGCCTGTCCCCAGAGCTCTGGACGTAGTCATCCAATTGCCTGCTTGGTATCCCTGCTCGGATGTCTCAAAGGCAATGAACTGGATGTGTCTGTGGTCTCCTCTCCCCGCTCCCTCCCCACCTCCCACAGCTCCCTGTCCCAGCAGACTGCACCACTGCCCACCAGTAAGAGGTGCCAGAAGCCTAAAAAGTGACCCCTGATCCCTTGCTCTCTCCAACCCCATATAGCATCCATGACCATGTTTGTTTCTCCTCCTCACTTTCCCCTGTTTTTCCAATGTAAATTGCCATCATCTCTGTTTTGAATTACAACAGCACTCTCTCAACCCTTCCCTCTTCTTCCTTTCTAATGTCACACCCATTCACCCCCTTGAAGCCAAAAGGATCTTCTAAAAACCTGAATTTATTCCTGCCATTCTCTTTACCAAGAATCCTTCAGGAGGGCCTCCTGTTGCTCTTAGGATAATGTCCCTAATTCTAACCTGGCTCTCAAAAGCTCTGAATAATCCACCCCTTGAGCATCCAAGCGACCTGAAGCAAGCATACACACAGAGGTACCTGGGTCTGCACCTTCTCTTTCATCCTTCAGGTCCCACCCTGAAGGGACTGGACATGCATGTGTCAACACCCCAGCCCACACCTCCAAGCTCTGTCCACCCCCTTGGTCATTCCTCGGGCTCAGAGTGTATACAACAGGACTCCATCTGCTTTTGGAGGGTGGCCCTGAGGGAGAAGTCTGAGCACATTCATATTTCTACCCAGAGTTGGCAATTTTTAAAAACTTTTATCTTTTTCCCTCTCATCTTTCAGACAGGCACTGCACTTGCACTGTCACTTTCTGAATTAACTCATGTCATTTTCTCAGCTTTCCATGTGGATGTCCACCTTGTCTGAATCTCTAAGCACTCTTTGGCACATGTAGGATCCCAATACTGCCGTGTGGGTTACAAATGTTTTCCTCCCAATTTGTCACTAGTCTCTTGATCTTGCCTATGGAGAGTCTGATTGTTTGGTTTGTGTTTGTGCTATGGAAGTTTAGAAGGCATCAGTCTTTGTCATCATAGTGTCTGATTTTAAGTGTCTTTGTTGGAAGGGCATTTGCTGAGCCCCTAATTCTTTCAGTCACCAGTATTGTATTTTCACTCCTGCGGTTTCTTCCCATTCCTCCTGGTCCTTGTCCATATGGAATGCATATTGATGTCAGGAATGAGGTAGAAATCTGGCCTGGATCTGGCACTTCTGGGTTCTGCTTGTCCAGCACGTCTTCTCTCTCCTTCTGGCAAGAACTCTCTCCCTCTTTTCTATGGGGCACCCTCTCATTGTGTCTGAAGTGGCTTATCCATCATCTATCCTTGATCCCATGTCTGACCAATCAGGCAATTCCATCCGTCTGGCCACAGTGATTGGTTTAGAAGAGGGTGTGTCTTGTAGGTTGGACCAATCAGAAGTCCTCCCTATGATGTTTTTCTACCACAGAGATTAAGAAGAAACCACTTTCTTTATGCTGCTGCTGTTAAGGTCCTATGTGTGTCTGGCTGTTGGAGACAGCCTACCTTGGAGAGAGCTTATCAGTGAGATGGAATCAAAGATGGGGACCTGAAGGTATTATTGGAACACCTGGATCTAACTATCCTATCCTTTGGACTTTTGAGTTACTTGAACCAGTACATTCCTTTTTTAAAATTTAGTTTCAGTTGAGTTTCTGTCATTTGCAATCAAAAGAATCCTGATAGATGCATGGACTTATTTTTTATATCAAATGCCAATCCAGGGATCATCTGTTACTTTGTCCAAAAGAAGAGCATCCATCCCTTCCACTCCCCTTCAACCCTCTCCTTTATTCTGGGAAAAATTTTTTCTTCTGTTCAGCTTTGTGGTTTAAATAGAAGTTGTCACTGTATAAGTCCCACCTTCTCAGCCACCTTCAATTGGCTCAGGTATGGATTCAATTGGCTTAGGCTCTGATTCAAGCCTGCTCTATCTTCCTTTAATTTTTTTCCTGCAAAGTGTCGGGAGGTGATATGTGAGCCATTAAAATAATATGTAGTTTTCTGGGGGGACAAGTATATTCATATTGCTTAAATCCAAAAGATATTATAGGCCATACAGTAAAAAATTTCTACCAAAAACTCTTGAAAATCAACAATAGAACCATAGTAACCCTAATAGAAAAAAATTAAGAAAAAGGTATGAACAAGCACTTTATAGAAGAAGACATCTAAAAGGCTGATAAGTATATGAAAAGATGCTTCAATCATTAGAACCAGAGACTACATTAAGAACAATAGTAGCTATCACTTAATCTCTATTTGACTGGCAAAATTTTGAAAGGTGGTTATTTCCACCATATCAGAGGGATGTGGGGACAGACACACTTTTGTACCTGCTTGTAGTTCAGACTGCAGCAGCCATCTGGAGAATCACCTGGTACTCCTGAGGGAAATGAAATATGTGCCCTACTGCCCAGCAATCCCACACCTGGGTGCATTTCTAAAACAGCCATGGGCCTGTATGGAACATATACAAGTATGTTTATCACACCATTGTTTGGGGAATCAGGGAGTTGAAGACAGTCTGAGTGTCCCTGGTGGTCATTAAGACTGTCCACAAATATTCCAGCTTTCTCTTTCCATGACCACGTGGTGGGACTGAACTTCCCTGCCATGTAAGGTAGGTGGGACCATGTGAAATAAAAGTAAAAGGCCATGAGAATGTGGGCAGAGTGGCTGTGTATCACCTGCAAATGGAAGTCAAGGGTCGGTGTTTTATCTACAGTGGACGTGCAGCATCTATGAGAAATAAGCCTTTGTGATTTTAAACTATTACACAGACATACCTCAGATGCTGCAGTTTCAGTTCTAAGCCACAGCAATAAAGCAAATCACATGAATTTTTTTGGTTTCAGGGTGCATATAAAAATATGTTTATACTGTAAACTATTACACTATTAAATGTGTAATATCATTGTGTTTTAAAAAAAATGTACATACCTTAATTTAAAAATACTTGATTGCTAAAAGGCATTAACACCATTTGACAAGACAGGGTTGCTACAAACCTTCAATTTGTTTATAAAAAAATGCAGTATCTGTAAAACACAATTAAGCAAAGTGCAATTAAACAAGATATGCCTGTAATCTGGGGAGTATTTGCAGTGTAATCTACTCTAACTGACTGATACAGTGGCCACATGTACACAATGGAAGCTGTGGACCAGGCACATACACAGCATCAGGGATAGATCTTAAAAACAGCTGTTCAGTCACTAAGTCATGTCCAACTCTTTGCATGCCCATGAACTGCAGCATGCCAGGCTTCCCTGTCCTTCATTATACAGTCAAGACATGGAAACAGCTTAAAGGTCCTTCAACAAGATGAATGGATAAAGCACACAAGAGTGTTCCTCACACATTAAAAAGAATGAAATACCACCTGCTGCAACATGGATGGACCTAGAGATTATCATACTAAATGAAGTCAGAAAGAGACAAATACCATATGATGTCACTTACATGTAGAATCTGAAATCTGACATAAATGAACCTACCTATGAAACAGAAACAGACTTAGAACAGACTTGTGCTTGCCAAGGGGAAGTGGTTGGCAGAGGAATGGGTTGGGAGTTTGGAATTAGCAGATGCAAACTAGTATACATAGAATGGATAAACAACGAGGTTCTACTATATAGCACAAGGAATTATGTTCAATATCCTGTGATAAGCCATAATGGGAAAGAATATGAAAGAGAATATACATATAGGTATGACTAAATCACTTTCCTATACAGCAGAAATTAACAACATTGTAAATCAGCTATTACTTCAGTAAAATGCTTTTTTTAAAGTGCTGGATGAGAGAAAAAACTGAAGGAGATCTGTACCGTAACCCATTTATATAAATTAAAAATAACATACCCCGTGTTGCTTAGTGGGGTCAGAAGCAGGAATCATCATCACATCCTCATGTCAATATGTCAAGGGCAGCTCAGGATAAAGGAAAGGTCAGAGAGGGGAGTTCTGATAAGCTCTTGATGGAAAGATATTTGATAAACTATTCTTGGTCTGATATGAAAGTTCTGTTGAAGATTCCTGGAAATATGAAAAATGGAATTTGGATACTATAGCTGCTGCTTCTCAGCAGAGCAACCATCCTGTTTCTACAATGAGTAAAATCGAATGACTGAAGGGAGCAATATGCCAGCACATATGCAATCAATATGCCAGCAAATTTGGAAAATTCAGCAGTGACCACAGGACTGGAAAAGGTCAGTTTTCATTTCAATCCCAAAGAAAGGCAATGCCAAAGAATGTTCAAACTATCGCACAATTGCACTCATCTCACACGCTAGTAAAGTAATGCTCAAAATTCTGCAAGCCAGGCTTCAACAGTACATGAACCATGAACCTCTAGATGTTCAAGTTGGATTTAGAAAAGGCAGAGGAACCAGAGATCAAGTTGCCAACATCCATTGGATCAACGAAAAATCAAGAGAGTTCCAGAAAAACATCTTTGCTTTATTGACTATGCCAAAGCTTTTGACTGTGTGGATCACAACAAACTGTGGAAAATTCTTCAAGAGACAGGAATACCAGACCACCTGACCTATCTCTTGAGAAATCTGTATGCAGGTCAGGAAGCAACAGTTAGAACTGGACACGGAATGATAGACTGGTTCCAAATTGGGAAAGGAGTATGTCAAGGCTGTATACTGTCACCCTGCTTATTTAACTTATATACAGAGTACATCATGAGAAACGCTGGGCTGGTTGAAGCACAGGCTGGAATCAAGATTGGTGGGAGAAATATCAATAACCTCAAATATGCAGATGACACCACCCTTATGGCAGAAAGTGAAGAACTAAAGAGCCTCTTGATGAATGTGAAAGAGGAGAGTGAAAAAGTTGGCTTAAAGCTCAACATTCAGAAAACTAGGATCATGGCAAATGTATGGGAAAACAATGGAAACAGTGACAAAATCCCTGCAGATGGTGACTGTAGCCATGAAATTAAAAGACGCTTACTCCTTGAAAGAAAAGCTATGACCAACCTAGGCAGCATATTAAAAAGCAGAGACATTACTTTGCCTACAAAGGTCTGTGGTTTTTCCAGTAGTCATGTATGGATGTGAGAGTTGGACTATAAAGAAAGCTGAGCACTGAAGAATTGATGCTTTTGAACTGTGATGTTGGAGAAGACTCTTGAGAGTCCCTTGGACTGCAAGGAGATCCAACCAATCAATCCTAAAGGAGATTAGTCCTGGGTGTTCATTGGAAGGACTGATGCTGAAGCTGAAACTCCAATACTTTGGCCATCTGATGTGAAGAGTTGACTCATTTGAAAAGACCCTGATGTTGGGAAAGATTGAAGGCAGGAGGAAAAGGGGATGACAGAGGATGAGATGGTTGGATGGCATCGCCGACTCAATGGACATGAGTTTGGGTAAACTCTGGGAGTTGGTGATGGACAGAGAGGCCTGGCATGCTGCAGTCCATGGAGTTGCAAAGAGTTGGACATGACGGAGCGACTGAACTGAACAGAACTGAAGCTGCTGCTGCTCAGCAGAGCAACCATCCTGTTCCTACAATGAGTAAAATCGAATGACTGAAGGGAACAATACTCAATATTTTGTAATAACCTATAAGGGAAAAGAATCTAACAGCATATATAAATATAAATAATATATATTATTCTTTAGATTCAGATGTGTATAACTGAATCACCGTTCTGCACACCCGAAAGTAACACAATGTTGTAAATCACCTATTCCTCAAAAAAAATCCAAAAAATATTTGATCTATCCAACATGCATGCATGCTAAGTTGCCTCAGTCATATCTGACTCTTTGGGACTCTATGGACCATAACCTGCCAGGTGGCTCTATCCCTGGAATTCTCCAGACAAGAATACTGGAGTGGGTTGCCATGCCCTCCTTCAGGGATTCTTCCCAGCCCAGGGATCGGGAAGTTCTGTCTACTGTCTCCTGCATTGGCAAGAGGGTTCTTTACCATGAGTGCCACCTGGGAAGCACCCAATCTATCCAAACCTTTTTTTTTTTTTAATGAATGAAGATATGCAAACAGAGCCCATTGGGATTATTGGAAACTGATGCACAGTGAACTGTGACCCCTGAAGGAGAATTAAAAAACAAGAATAGAAGGTTAAAAGTGAAATTTGCAGGAATAATGAGCGGTGGGTGAAGTCTGTTATGTTTGTGTTTAGTCTGGTGGTTAATCTGAATCCAGGTTTGTTGCTTTTGGTTGATCAGAGTACATGTTGCCATACACTGTCTTAATTTTGGGGTGACTAATGAGATACCATAAGATAACTAGCACAGTAACTAACATGTTTAATCCTAAAAACATCAACTTGTTTGATGTTGGCCTACATGTTTTCCACTTATTCTTAGAGCTATCACATTTGTCAAATCCAAAGTTACAAACTTATTGGGAAGGAGAGGGTGGGATGAATTGAGAGTGTGGCACTGAAACACATACATTACCGTATGTGAAATTAGACAGCCACTGGAAATTACTGCATGATACAGGAAGCTCAAATCTGGTGCTCTGGGATAACCTAGAGGGACGGGATGGGGTGGGAGGGAGACTCAAGAGAGAGGGTACATATGTACACCTATGTTTCATTCATATTGATAAATGGCAAAACCAAGATAATATTGTAAACCAATTATCCTCCAATTAAAAATAAATTTAAAAAATGAAGTTACAAACTCATTGGACAAATGCAAATACTGAGCAAATGTCTGTGTTCTCTTCAAAATATTGCAGCTATATCTATTAAGAAGCATATTCAATATTCACATGCAAATTCAAGATAAGTGACTTCAAAGCCACACACAATCATTTAGAATCGTTTCATTCGGTGAAGGTGCAGAAAATGCAGAATGGGTCCAAGTAAATGACATCTGATATACCTCTTGCTGCGATCGCACTGTTTTAATATATAAACTTGCTTCATTTTTTTTGAAAATGTGCCCCCAGACAATTTACACATTTTCCCCAAGCACACACACACACACCAAAGGGTTAGATATCTAACATCCTGGAATTGCTGGCAATGGTGGAAAGGGAAATTGCAGGTAAAGGGGAATAAGCAGATCAATAAAATAAGATGTGCCCGCACAGACCAGTGATGGCTATGGGCTGTGACCTGGAGACCATCTTTAACGCTTTTTCTGAGGTCCAGTAAAGGGAAAAGATTCTCACCTTGTACCTGCTCCCTGGAGGCATCCAATATTGCCTGTTTACTATGCATCCTGCTGGGGTGGGCAAAGCTTAAACATACGCAAACAGATACACATGCTCCCCCAACACCGCACGCATGCTCACTTTTCGTACAAAGGGAAGCATGGGTGAAGTTATGCTGCTTGGTCTGTTGCTTGTTTCTTGTTTCCCAGTCAAGTTTTGATGGTGAGATTGGAAGAACTGGGGCATGGGACAGGGTTTTCACCATATGGGGGAAAAAAAATCTGGGAGGATAAATCCAAGATGCAGATATCCACCCTTGATCTTCCTGGAGCGTTACGAATCTCCATCCAATCCTCACTTTGCTTCAGCTATGTCATAGTGAGTTTCTGTTACGTGTAACCGATGAATCCTGACCAATGCATTCAAATGCCACTTGGATCATACATTAGATTTCCAAATGCTTGAGTCTCTTCTCTGGACTTGTGTTTTGTTCTAATGCTCTGTCTCTTTATAACATGGTTGGAATATTTAGAATATTTTTTATATCTAGTCGGCAAGTCTCCTGTCCATAACCTTCATTTTCAGAATTTTATTTGCTTTTCTTTTGTATGATACAATCTCCAGGGTGAACTACATAGCATAATTTTTCTGCTTTAAAAAAATCAGGGTAGGGAAAAAAAAAATCAGGGTAGGAAATTTCCTAGAGGTCCGGTGGTTAGGACTCTGCCCTTCCACGGTAGGGGCCATGGGTTGGATTCCTGGTTGGGGAACCAAGATCCCACAAGCCACATGGAGTGACAAAAAAAAAAAAGTGTACTCTGAGGTTGTGTTACATTTAGAGGTTGGTTTAGAGAGAATTGTCATCTTTCAATGTGGAGTCCTCCTAGCCAAGCACAAGGAGGATTTTTTTTTTTTTATTTAGTCCAATTTTCCTTTCTGTATTTCAGTAAAGGTACAGTTTTCATCTAATAAAAACCTGTGCTTGTTATGTTTGTTCTTAAATATTTTATAACTTTTCTTTTTGTTGTGGTTTGTATCTTTTTCCAGTTTTACTATATAAGAGGTTAGTGTTAGTGTTGATACATGTGCTATAAACTGAGTGCGTTTACTCTGTACCCAACCATCAGGTGGTTTTTAGGGTGGGTCTAATTATTGACAGTAAACAATCTGCTTGCAATGCAGAAGACCCTGGTCCGGGAAGATCCCCTGGAGAAGGGAATGGCACCCCACTCCAGTATTCTTGTCTGGAGAATTCCATGGACTTCTATGTCCATGGGATCGCAAAGAGTCAGACACGACTGAGCGACTAACACACCAATTATTGCAAGAAATATGTGTGTGTGGGCTCAGTTGCTCAGTCATGTCTGACTCCTTGCAACCCCAAGGACTGTAGCCTGCCAGGCTCCCCTGTCCATGGAATTTTCCAGGCAAGAATACTGGAGTGGGTTGCCATACCCTTCTCCAGGGGATCTTCCCAACCCGGGGATCGAACCCGTGTCTCTTAAATCTCCTGCACTAGTGACACCAAGAAATATAGACTCCCTGGAAATAATCAAGGTGTGTATGTGGGAGGGTAGGAAACTCAGTGGTGGCTGAGGGGAATCCAGGCCAAGCACAGAGGCATGGGCCTGGGAGGCTGGTGAGAGAGAACCCAGCACGGCCACCTGGCTCCTCCCACCATTCCTGGTTACCATTTCAGCTCCAAAGTGGTCCAGCTGCCGCTCCGTGGCCACCCCCCAACATGCTTCCTCTGCAGCATCTGTCACCAGTGGCTGTTTCCATGTGGTTCTTTCCTCACAGTCCTGAGGGAAGAAATCCAGTGGCCTTGCCTCCCTCTCTGTGTCCTGCATGCGCCCTGCCTTTCTGCGTGTTCCTCCCATGTTCAGTGCCATGTAGCTGGGAGAATGGGGCCATTTGGAATTTTAAAATCACACACGACATGCTCACTGAGCTTTTGACCCTTGGCAGAAACGTTAGGACTTCCCCGGTGGAGCTAGTGGTAAAGAATCCACCTGCCAATGCAGGAGATGCGAGAGCTTCTGTCTGTGCCTGTCTCTTTCCAGGCACAGAGCAGGCAGAGGTCCCCACGGTCAGTGGAGAGCTCAGTGGCGCCAGAGAGGGCAGGGAGTGCAGAGGTTAGGAGCAGGGGTTCTGGGGACTTCCCTGTGGTCCTGTGGTTAGGACTAGCGCTGCCACGGCAGAGGGCACCAGTTCGATCTCCAGTGTGGGAACTAAGATCCTGCATGCCCTGTGGCCCCCAGCACTGCCAAAAATAAAAAAGGAGTGATTCTGGAGCCAGAGCAGAGTTCCAGGAGCCTCGTGACCTCAAATGAAGGATGCTTTCCTGTACCTCAGTTTCCTCCTCCATAGATGGAGGGATTAAAAACATAATGTAGAATAATGTAGTTTAGTTGTATATAACTTAATGTGTACTATTGTATCCATTATACACATGTAACTATGATATGAAATATATAACTATATAGTAATGTAGCATATTGTTGTGTGTGCTCAGTCATATCTGACTCTTTGTGGCCCCACGGACTGTAGCCTGCCAGGCTCATCCATCCATGGAATTTTCCAGGCGAGAATACTGGAGCCAGTTGCCATGCTCTTCTCCAGGGGATCTTCCCAACGCAGGGATCGAACCAGAGTCTCTTGCATCTCCTGCTTTGGCACATGGGAGGCCCTAAATAAAACACATTAGTAGATATTAATCTATATAACAAAATATAGTATAGCATAATAAATTATATAATTGGTAATATATTACTTTATATATATGTAATTATAGCATGTGAAATGTTATATAAGTATGTAGTAATATAAAAATATAACCATGACTAATCGGTAATAAAATAAAATTTATAATGCATAGCATAACAAATTATATATAATTTAATAGATAATGTGTAAATTCACATATATGTGTAATTATAAGCTATGTTATATAAATATATGTAGTAACATTTTTAATCTATAATATCATATGACACAAACAGAATTTAAAGCCTCTTACAATTGTCAAAAGTATTGAAGTATTTTGACAAGGCCTAGCCCATAATAAACATTCAGTAAGTATAAAATTTTATTGCTATAGTTGTATAGTTTATGAGTAGCAAAGAATTAAACAGTGCCTGGCCCAGGGTAACTACTCCATAGATGTCATCTTTTATTGGTATGTAGTAGGTGAGTATTAAAACACAGTGCCCAGTGCTCGAGTTAATTTTATACTGTAGTACACTTAGCAAGCTTTCTTTGGGATTTTCTTAAGTCATACAATCATATCATCCACACATAATGAGAATGTTACCTTCTACTTTCTCGTGTATTTAACTCCATTTGTTATTATTATTTTGTCCAATTGTTCTAGCAGTTTTTCAGAACAAAATTAAATAACAGTGATGAGAACAGAAATTTGTTGTTGTTCCTCACTTCAAAAATGTTGAGTATTGCTGGCTGTTGGATCCATTCTCACTACCAGTGATGTTAAGGAAGTGTCCTTTTATTACTATTCTGCCAAGGCCTTTTAAAAAAAACAATGAACCAGGAAGAGACCTAATGCCCTCAAAAGCCTTTTCAATTCCCACTGAGTTACTGAAGGGTCTTCTCCTTTGTTCTGTTAACTCGAGAAACATACTGACTGATTTGTGATGCTCATCCTTTGCCTTCTGTCCCTAAACCCCACTTTCTGTGGTCTGGATCCTGTTACCACGATTCAATTTATCTCTTAATTTGTAAAGAGGTGCATCAAGCATCAGGGTCAGGAGACAAAGGATCAGTATCATATGGGGGAAGAACTAAATCAGGCAGACGCAAGCCCAAGGTAATAAGATTCCTCAGATGGTACCAACTGGTGGAACCAGCTTTGATGAACCTAAAGTCACAATGGAATGCAGAGGAAAACTGTCAGAATTGCTTATTTTGAGGATAAGGGGAGAAATTGACTCCTGAAACTCACCTGAATTTAAAATCTTACAGTAAAGGTTTGAGTTGCAGCAGACTCACTGAATCAAGCCTGGAAAAGCTCTTATCATGGTCTATGTGAGGATGAATTAATTCCGTGTCTGAATTTAAAACTAATTGGGGGGAAAAAGTGACATATGTTTAATTTTTCTCTTCAGTATGTAGATGTAAAACAAATCCTCTTTTATGTAGAAAGAACAGTTTTACTTTGAAGACACGATGGATTTCATCAAGGGTTGAACCTTGATCGATTGAACTCATCACAGGCACACACCAGGGACCTCATTGTGTCTCTACTACTATTATTACTACTACTTAATAAAGTAAAAGCCATAAGGCAAAGGGTAAGCTACTACTACAACTTCAATTTATTGCTGAAACTATTATAAGAATATTTGAACCTCTATATGAAGAAAATGGAGATGTTTATAGTTGCAGAGAGAAGCAATTATGGAATTCTTTATGGGGTGATTTGTCAATGGATTGTATGATCAGTTACAATTTTATGGGTAAAGGTTTAATGCTTTGTTATCATGTACTGTCATTTGAATTTAACCTGGATTATCTCCTGGTTTTTAGATTTTCCAGTTACTAATTAAAGAAAGGTCTCTTCTCCTTTGCCATGTGTGTTCATTTCTGCAATATGTATTCATTGGATTCTGGTTCCTAGAGACAAATAAGAATTATTCCAGCTACTTCAGTGATAATAATTTTTTTTTTTTGAGAAGGAGAGAAAACTTGAATTTCTCCTTAAAACTTATTGCACCAGTTTGATTTCCCCCTTACCGTTTTACCATTTTTTTCTTTAGGAGCTTCTATTTCTCTGATCTACAGCTTTTTAGTGGCCAGTCTATTTGCAATTTGGTACTAAAAAAATTTTTTTAGCTTGAAATTAAGGGGAAAATGCATCATCAGATCACCTGAATGAAACTACATTAAAGGGTTCATCAAACTTAAAGAACCTAAGGCATTAGAATCTTGAGAGCCATGAGAAAGATTTTGGTAGGTAGGGTCAGGGAGGTCTTACATTCACCTTCTTATTATTGAAAGAACCACCGTGATGATCTCATTAATTTCAAGAGACAATTGATGGAAAGGCCCTCCTGTTTCTCCAGGTGTTTAGTTTTCAAACTCTTCATGACTTAGAATGACAGGTGCTCTTCTGGGCTGTATGGTCAAGGCCATTGATTCCAGATTCTTAAATGGGAGTATTTCTTTCTTTCACTCTCTTCCTAAACCTACTCCCAAGTCTGACCTCCCAGCCAGAATCGTGGCTCTCAATTTGTATTTCTTACTTTAGAGAGGAAGGAATCTGGGATGCAAGGCTAGAGACCACCTACATAGCAAGACTCGAAGTCCCTAATTACAAAACCACATTTGTGTCTCAAAATGTGTGCTCTAAAGACATGGAGGGCATCCAGACTTCCTTGGGGTTGTGCTCAGCAGCTTGAGCTCCTTGCTCATCATTTGGTCCTGCACAGGTCCACAGGGTGAATCAGTGATGGGGAAAGGATTTCCTGGACGGCACACTGACTTCCCAGGTGGAGCAGTGGTAAAGACTCTACCTGCTAATGCGGGAGAGGCAAGAGACTTGGGTTCAATCCCTAGGTCGGGGAGATGCCCCGGAGAAGGAAATGGCAACCCCACTCCAGTATTCTTGCCTGGAGAGTTCCATGGACAGAGGAGCCTGGTGGGCTACAGTCCGTGGGGTCACACAGAGTTGGATGCGATTGAGTACCGCACATCACATATTGACCGTCTTTCAGCAACATCACTGATTTATTTCCAATCCAACAAACTTGGGTCTTAGGCCAGAGTTTAAAACCACAGGCTCTGGAGCCTGATTACCTGGATCTGAATCCCAGCACTGCCCCTTGTGGCTGCTTGACTGTAGACCAAGGAAGTTGTTCAGCTTCTGGTTGTCGGGTTCCTTGTTTGTGAAACACGGGTGACAGTGGCCCTTGGGTTATTCCTTGTAAAGCACTAGACAAGGTCAAGCAGGTAGTGGGCACTGAGTAACGCCGTGGCTCTTACTTTTATTGTTAATTTACTTTAGCAGGTCTCTCGTGGACCACTGATGTGATTAAATGTACTTCTTATTTTTTTTCCATAAACTTATTTATTTTTGGCTGCACTGAGTCTTCCTTGCTGTGAGGTGGCTCTCTCAAGCAGTGGAGAATGGGTGCTACTCTCTAGCTGCGATGCATGGGCTTCTCATTGCAGTCGCTTCTCTTGCTCCTGACTATGGGCTCTATCTAGAGCACGCAGGCTCAGTTGTTGTGGCTCATGGGTTTAGTTGCTCCACGGCATGTTGGACCTTTGTGGACCAGGGATTAAATCCATATCCCTTGCACTGGCAGGCAGATTTTTAACCACTGGACCACCAGGGAAGTCCTAATTCTTGTTTATAATTATTTGCAATGACCACTCATTACCCCTGGAAGTTAAAAAAAAAATAAAGTTTAATCTTGATATTTAGGATTTTTCTTTCTTTTTTCTTGTTTTTAAAATATTGATACAAAATGAGCACATAAAGAATTAGATGGGGGTGTCAGGTACAACATGATGACTATTGTTAATAAGATTATTGTCTGTTTGAAAGTTGCTAAGAGAGATCTTGAAAGTTCTCATCACAAAATTTTTTAACTGTGTGGTGATGGATGGATGTTAAATTTATTGTGGTGATCATTTTAATAAATAAGTCAAATCATTATGTTGCACACCTGAAGCAGATATAATATTGTATGTCAATTATGTCTCAATTTTAAAAATTAGAATAATTAATGAGCCCTCCAGGACTCATCTTTCAGGTTCAACCAGGATGGACTCAAAGCTAATCTTGTTTGGCCTCTGTCCGATACCAGTGATGTCCTGGAACTGACTT